CTTATCTTATCTCTTACTTTCAAACAAGGCCCTATGTTTTTATCCAACATGATGTGTGTTACTTCACTAATGAAATCCACTCTTTCTGTTTTTATTTTCTTTAAACCTTTGAGTTTAGGATTTGGCCAGCGAGGATAGGCAGTATCTCAGTCACCACTGAGCTGTAGGTTCAACACAGACTAAAGTGGCTAAATGCCACGTACAGGCAGGTGCAGTGTAGAGATAAACTCAACTTTGTAAATTATTGTAAATTATTTGAAAATATTCAAAAGATCAGTTTATGGTCTTATATGTATATCAGCACATTATCTCCTTTTTTCAGTAACCCGTTCCCATTGGTCAGTGAGTTTTATAGATGCAAAGAGGCACTCACAGCAGAGAGTCTGGAGCAGAATGATGATGGTCAGTAGAAAGCAGAGCAGACAGAAGTAATGAGCCAGCTGTCTGTAGTGACCTGAGAGAGCCGACACAACAACAAAGGGAAAAAAGAAAAGCACTTAAACATTTATAGACCTTTTTTACATTTCAGCAGGAGGAGACTTGGAATTTCACCCAAAGCAGTCCAACAGACCAGCAGAATATTCCTGTTGAAATACAGCATCTCTTTTTGTTGTGTTGTTGCATTGGACTGCTTTATTTGCATGAACCATGCCCTGCATGGTTGATGAGTATGGGTTGCATCAGACACAGGCAGATCAATGAACTGATAGATTTTGCTCTAATTTCATGAAATCTGCCACCAAGACTTCAAACATCTCTCTGATCCCAAGTCTGTAGAATGTTTCTGAAAAGAAATATTGTTGACGTTGCATTTTCAAAATCCATATTACAAACCCAGAAAATAAAATTCACTCTAATGTAAAGGACGAGGCAACTGTAAAGCTAAACAATAAAAATCCAGCAGACACCACCGAGGATGAGTGGGAACATTTTTATTATGTTGCAGTCACTATTGTTGTCATCTCTGCTTCTTCAAAGCAGAATGAGCTCGTTAATTAAATCATTAGCTAACATGATAATGAGCACACCTCAACAGTGTTCTTCTTAAACCCACTCGACCCATGCATGCAATTGAATTTAGTGTTAAACAGGCTAAGAAATGACTAATACTAAATAAATAAATAAAACCAATTGAAATACTTTATAAAAAGAAAAGCTGATTACTTCTGTCTGTGGATGCTTCCAGCTTTTTTTCTTCTTCAAGCAGAGTCGATCCATTATTCACTCCCATGGTCTCATCCAGCAGAGAATCAGCTTAAGATTTTAGGAGTTATTACAGCACGGATGCATAACTTTACAGTCACCAACAATCCTTTGTTTTCCAGCAGCAGGTACCAACGAACAGCCCAGCGTTCCTCTGTTGAGGGATTTGTGTGGAATGATGTCCAGTATCTCATATGAATATTAAAATACTGACTCCCCTGCAGCCGTATGCAAAGCAGAGCTGAGTCTGATAACCAAACAAGTCTGTTAGAGGAAGAGTCCTTCTTTATTTCTCCATTAGTGTGTGTTAAAATCAACATACAGTTAGTTTACCTACCAAATAACTGCACATATCAGCCTGTTAGGGACGCCCATGGAAAATGTTTCCTGCCAGAGCAGATTCACCCCTTCAAAGTTACAATCGAGCCTTCTTTATACCTGAAAATGGCATTAACCTCTAAAAAGGGGAAAATAGATACATACACATTTCAATGTATGCATGGGTGACATATTAAAGGGAAAAAAGGAACTAAAGTGTGTTGTTAAGATATTAGGCTACCGCTTAATGCTAGAATAGCTTCTGGACTCTTTGGCATTTGTTTTTCAGGTTTATGGACGAGGGTTAAATGCTATTCCTTCACAGTATAAACATATAAGCTGTTAAACATGTCTACCCAACATTTTGCACTGCTTATTTAGATCTCGTGGCTGCAGAGGCCACATGCTTTACATAACTGTCATCCTGGTGAAAACATTCATGTGTTTATAATGGATGGAGAGCGTGAGAGTCAGGGTGATCAGTCAGAACAACTGTGGCACTTTCTTCTAAAAGAGACATTTTCTTAGCAGCTTATCCAGTTCCCAGCGGCTGGAGCCTTCTGTCATAAGGTGAGAGGCTGGGTACATCCAGATACATCCTTTCCTGTCTAACACACACAGAGGCAATCCTTCATGCTCACATTTATACCTATTATGAATCATTAACAGCAATGACCAACCAAGATTCCTTTTAGAAACATTTTCCTGTTCATTTTTCTTAAATTCTGATTAGTTTCTCTACATATTTTCCCCTGTTTGGTTGGTAACATTTCCTTGCACTGACTTTAAGCCCCACCAGAGGGCCCACTATATCGTTTGAGAACCACTACTGCAATGAAACCTGTACAAACAAACAATTAAAGCTTCCTCCCACAGAGCAACAGGGGTTCAGATTTCCACTTAAATTTGTCACCTGCCTGCATTTATGTCTGTCTGCATAATTATCTAACACGCACAAGCAGCAATCATGACCAGCATGTGATTGTATGTGCAGCGTGTGTGTCAGAACACATAGTTCATCGTCTTCTTCAGTCATATGCACAAAAAAGTGTGTGAGATGAAGTGATCTGTGCAGAGACATAAGAGTCCGATAAAATACTGTATGCATACAGTAGAAGTAATAATAATATAATAATACTACCCAATAGTAATAATAGTTTTATTCAAAATACTGAAATATTTACAAATATTTGACAGCGTTTATAGAGCATTTCTCTTCTTTTTCAAGTTTTACATTTCAGTTTATACTGTAGTTTTTGGCTTACACATGTGGGAAGGGGTAGTGGATCGAATACAATATTATACTCAGCATATTTACAGCAAAAGACAAAAAAACAAAATTAAAGAAAAAATAAAGAAACCAAAAAAACTATTAAAATGTGCACTGAAGGTGAGGATAAGCAAGTATTTATGTTAATAGTGCATTTTAAAGCTTAGCTTACAAACTACACATCTTTGTATTGGAAGAAGGAGGTATAAATGTGAAGTATAGGAGCACAGACAAAAGAAGCACATCATATATATATTTATATATGTCACATCATATATAGATGTGTGTAGAAACATATGAACATATGGAGAAAATTTGGAGAATTTTTTTTTGGTTTGGATTAAGATAATTTGAAAATATCTACTTTACCTATATATAAGCTCTTTGAGGCGACTGATTCTGCTGAATTAAAATCATTAGAGGATACGTGAGTTTAATTCAGAAGGGCTCTAATTAGCAAATATATAACAGTTTATTTCAAAAGATGAGCTTTACAAATAAACACAGGGTTAAGTAAAAGTCGTTTACAACCTGAGAACAATCATAATAAATACTTTCATGTTTGATTTACGTGTACAAAAACCCCCAAACTCTTGTTATAAAACGATGAAAGTGCAGCTACAAATGATTAACGCGAGATCAACAATGTCTTTTTACACGTTTAGCTTCTGTGCGTCTGACTCTGCCATGCGGTTTGAGCTCGTCGGAAATAAGCGGGATCAGATCAGTCGTTCACGGGTAAATCCCACTGTAAGCCACTGGTTGCCCAAGGAGACATCAGCATTAGCGCGGTGACACGTTGTTAACCTGAATCGATGCAGTCAGGTGGCTCGTGGCTGTAATGTGTCGTGTCTGACATTGAGCTGTTTTGCTCTTATGTAACAAACCTTTCACAAGGATTTGTTTACAGACGGAAGAAAAACCAAAGGTTAAAACATTTTCAGTCCTGCGTTGACAAAATGCACGATTTACTGTTACGAACATGTACTCACATTGTAAAGCCACACAAAAGCATGTTATAGTTAATTCTACAACCCCCCCACATATTTTTAGAGTTTTCAATATGAAATACTAATACAAAAAGAATAGTCTGCCAAAATCTCAATGTGCAAAACAACCATCAGTATGCAGTGCTTTGCCCTGCTGTGTACTGCAACCTCACTATCGGTTCTTTAGCAGCACGCACAAGTCTATGTGGCTTCGTTTAGCATCTCTTTCACCTTCTGTAATGTCTATGTTGCTCATAAACCGCACAGAACAAGCTAGCGCAGGCCGGTTAATGGTAAACCAGCAACCTTTGGGCCTGTTCCAATCGAAAGAAATCCTATTATGTGTGTTGGATCTCTTAGACGTGCTGCAGTCATGAGCGTGCAGCCAGTAAATCCAAAGCCCTGCACTCTTTGGAGCCTTCAAAGGTGTCCTGCTGGGAGCGTTCGAGCGAGGAAGTGAGGGTGTAGGTGGACAAGGCAGAAGGATCCGGCAGGAATGGAAAAATCCAAAAAAAACAACCAAAGTCCTCACACTGCTCGTGGCCCACAGCTGAGCTTGTGCTATTAAAGTTCTGCAGCCAACATGATGGAAGAAGAAATGAAAGAAACGATCGCTTTACGGTTGACCGATGATCAAATAATGTATCTCCACTTGTCGGCCATTTTTGACACAACCATGTTATCAATTACTAGAAAAGGATAATCCTACAGCCCTGGGGTCAGCGTCCATCTTTAGTGGCAGGGATCAAAAGAAAGCTCAGCGAGGCCTCCGTGGAGCTCAACCGACTCCTCCGACCATGACATGACATCACCAACGAGGTGGCCGCCGCAGGTTGCTTGGCTGTAAATCTCGCTGGATGTCAACACCCTGGACCAGAACTGGAGGTCTGACAGCTCTCCCACAAAAGACTGAGTGACGTCAAAGCGGCCTCCCATTGTGTCCTGTGGAGGGAGAAGCAAATGTGTCAAAATGTAGAGTTGATATTTAAAACGTTACCAGCTTTTTGGGATTAGAAAGTTGTTCTTTAAGATATGAAACTGGTAAAAATGACATTTTTAGTTTGACACAAATTTGATTTGTTTCATCAATAAAGCCAAGGCCCTAAAAATGAAGCCAATACTAGAGCGTCTTAACCCTGCTTTCTTTCTAACAACATCATTTAAACAATAAAGATTCAGTGCATATGTTTATATCTACTGAAAGGCACTATACAAAGTCAGCTGTTTCAAAAAAAATTAAAAAATAAATTAAAAAATGGCCAAACTGACAACATTTGGGCTTACAAGCTCAGCTCTCCACACTACAGACAGACTATCAGTCACAGTAAAGAGACAAGTCCAAGGTTTAACATATCCAGATGTCATAAAAAGAATCTGGTCCTTAGCCAGTCTTAAATGAGATAGATATAACAGATGAACTACCAAACATGACATATTAGATCATATCATTATTTAACAAAAATTAAATCACAATGCAGCAGCAGTATTGATACGAATTAAAAAGAAAAGTAGGAGCCAGGTGCTGCTAATCTATAGAAGCAGAAGTTTTAGCATTTTTCAGGTCAGGAAGTGTAACACAAGAACAAAACATAGGAGCAATGATCTTAAAGAAACATCAGTCTGGAAAGGATTATAAGGCCATTTCTGAAACAAGTTCAAGTCCATCATTCTACTGTTAGATTATTCCCAAGTGGAAAGCAGCTGCCTATCTTCACA